TCAAATACAGATGGGTAGATCTCTCCTCATCAGTAAGTTTGTCACGGTTTCCTCTTTACCATGCAACCTTTTGTAAATAAGGTCATGTCTCACTTTCCAGTAGAGAGGAGACCACTTGGCCTGCAGATTTTTCAGTGTGGAGATCTTTCATAAACTCACTAGCTTTAGCTATCAGCCACCAACTATTAAGTGGGGTGTTCTGAGCCCTGCAGTGGTCAAACTGGTTAAGCATTAACAGTGGCTATTTTACTTTCACTCCTGTGCTGCACCAACTCTACCAATGCACACCTGTTGTAGGAATTGATATGTATAATGTAGTCCTTGTTTCCCACTGCCACCTGAAACTGCTGGTGTTGTGTTACATCTCACAGTTTATGTTTAAGAGACATGCTCATGATATCATGAGCATGTACGTGGGCCAGAACAATGGCGGTGGATGAAGAGTGGGCCAGTGAGAGTGTGCCACTGAGGCAACGGTGGTGAGATTGGGCCAGTGGGGTAGCCCAGGGTGGGACTCTGGCAGAGGCATGGCAAGGGCTGGAATACCCTGAGTAGGACTGCAACAGTGGAAAGGAAAGTTGGACTCTCTTAAATAATCTTTTTTTCCTTATCTTATTCTAACTTAACGTGAATGGTGCCACGTATATACAGCAAAGGCAGATACTTTTCACTGTATTTTTACATTGAATACACATGATAATAAATGATTCAATTCAATTGAATTCAATCACTGAATTCCAACAGGTGATCTGAGGAAGTGAAGGTCTCAGACTCCATCTTAACTGAGGCTACTTGCAACATGACATTCTTTTGGAAGCATGCTACTGTTTAAGTAAATAGCTTAAAAAAAGTAACCCTTGTCTACCACATTTCTCTGCATTTTAACAGTTGCTAATATGAAATATTTTAGGTGGCACAGAGGCCACCTTATAAATTGTAAAAATGTAAGTTGTGATTTTTCCCCAAATTTACATTGTAGGTCATGAAATTATCAATTATGCAATGGTGCTTTGTGGAAAAGATCACAGAGCAACCCAATAGATTTTCCCTTTGTTGTGGGAGAAGTTTCTACAATCCTCAGTTCCTCACTGTTTAGAAAATCATTTGTTCTGTTTTTCTTGACCCTCTTGTGGAAGTCTTATACTTTCATACATCGAATTTCACCTGCCACAGTTTTGCTCACTCACCTCATCTTATATCCTTTTGCAACTTTCTGCAGTGCCACCTAACTTGGTGTCCTGAACTATTTGGGATATATTTATTGATGAAAGCAAGAGTATTGGGCCATACATAATTCCCTAAGGGATCCTGGTACTGATGCAATAAGATGTCTGTCCTCTTATCAATGCACAATTAAAATGCTGGAAACAACAGGCAATTATGGCTGCATTTGTTGAAAAAGAAATATGTTAGCCTGCAAGCACTATTATCAGTAATGGGAAAAGTACAAAAAGTAATGGGTTTTGAGGAAATAAAAGTGGGTGAGGTTGGGAGAAGAACAACAGGGAAGGTCTATGATGGTATGAAGGGCAGGAGAGTTTAAGTGACAAATGAGTTCATGAGCAAGGACAGAGGGAATGGTAATGGGACAATTAAAGAAACAAAAGATGGCCACCATCTGAATGCAAAGCCTATACTGGGCTGAGCAAATGCAGACCTTGTTCAGTCTGCAGTCATGTCCCCAAGCTTCCAGATGCCTATCACATCAACTTGTTATTTCTCTTAGCTTTCTATACTTGGCTGCGTAGTGCTCCAGTGAAGTTCCACATAAGTTCAAGAATCAGCACCTCCTCTTTCAGTTTGGAAGTTTGCAGTCTCCTGGGCTCAAATAATTCAGACTGTAGCGTCTGCCCCAGTTTTGTAGCCCATTCTTTTATTTATTTATTTTTAAGAATTGTTTTTATTTCATTTCCTTTACTTTGCATTTGGATGTCAATTATCCTGCAATTTGGATTTCTTCATCTGACCCGTTACCACTCCCTTTAGTCTTACACCACAACAACTTTCATGTTTTAATTTCCCCACCTGATCACAGACATTCCACTTTTGTTCTTCTTCCTACGCTCCACTCTCTTTCTTGTTCCATTCTATTCCATTTCTAACTGTCCCCAGTTCTGATGAAAGACCACAGCCCTGAAATGTTAACTCTATATTTCTGTTTAAACAGATGCCTCTTAACTTGCTGTGTATTGTCAGTATCTTCTGTTTTTTGTTCAGATTTTCAGATAGTTTATCTTTTGCACCATGGCACACACTTGTGGTCTGACATGGTTGTGGAATGAATGTGTTGAACTACTGCTTATCCCAATGCAACTTCTACAAGTCTTTATCTGGCTCCAAGAATATTTGACTCAGTTTTGTGAGAAACTTGTGCAAAGTTGTGTCTAGCTAAACATAGTTGTTATTCCTCCATGAAGAGAAATGATGAAAGGTTAGTTCTGTGTAAAATGAATCATATAGGAGTTTAAATTCCTCTGCTAAAATTTAAAATAAACTAATTGATTCCTGTGTGTAATATTTTTAAAAAGCCATGTTTCTCACTTTGTTAAAGTACCAAAAAAAGAAGAATTTGGTGTCAATCCATAAATCAATGGGTTAAAATTGTATACATGGGAATTTCAAATTAGTCATGGGAATTCTTGATTTCAGCTGATTATAAAAAGAATGTAGTAAGGAAAGGTGAAATGCTTTTTTCAAAGTTCAGTGCTTGAAGCATCCAAGGTAATCCAATACAGCTCTTAATGATTGGTTATGGAATGTGCATCAGAGGTTGAATTTAAGAATTGATGGAACCATCTGAAATCAACTTTATCTTTCATCTAAGTGGTGTTATACCTTGTACCTGTTCCAAGAGAGTTACACATTAATGCAAAGTGCAAAAATGCCATTGTGGCCAATACCCAGTCATTCCAATATGGTTGGGCACAAACTTTAATAATCACTACATACAAGAAAATGTGTGATTCTGGAAGAAAGACCAGGAATCTAAAAAAGCTCAGAATGTGTGTTATGAGTGTCTGTGTGTGGTACTACTGAGAATTCAGATAACAAAAGTGGTTCATATTCTTCACTGGCATCTATCCCAATAAGCTATCTGCAAACATTACACCTGAATAATTAAGTTCTTTCAATCAAGATCCCTAGGTGTGAAATGCAGCATTGGATATAGTTACAGGTGTGATGATCTCTTTCCTGTGCCTTCCTGAAAAAAAAACCTTTTCTTGTTCTTTATAACATTTTGCTCTTAGTGATCTTTGTGAAACAACTGCAATTTTTTTTCCGATTGGTCATGTCACGGTGTAAGTAGAAGTTCTTGAATATTAATGATTATTTTCTGGTGCTTTGAAAAGAATGTTTTTAACCAGGTGTGACTGCATCATTTATTCAAGGACAGATCAATTATTTTCTTCAACCTAATGGGAGTAGTTAACTATTTATGCCAATAACACTCAGTCTGGTGGAACATACATGTTTATAAATGTTTATATATAAGTATTATATATGTATGTATTTATGTATAAACAACAACGATATGTATTAATCAATTTAGCAGAACTTAATGTAACAAAAAAATGTGCTCTGCTACACTTTCATATTACTTCATTTCTTCTGTTGTACTGTGATCCTGATCTGAGAAGGGAGTCAAATGATCTCTCTCAGAGTTTTTGCCCCGTCTCTGTCACTTATTTTTAAAAAAATAATTTTGCATACAAATTTTGACAAGGAGACGGCTAACATATCATTCACATCCTCCACAGGATAGAAGAAAAAGCTGAATGTTGAACATATGTCTTACTTTTCATGTCTTAGTGTCCCCTCACATCTCTGTGCATCTTTATCGGTATTGGTGTATTTGGTCAGTGCTTTTCTGATTTCATTTTTTCACTGTTCCACCTTTGGCAGTCTCCTTACCTTCCTGATTCCTGGCTGTGTTGTAATTGAGACCTCAGTGCATAGGATAACATCAGGGACGTGCGATTTGCAGTTCTAAGAATAGTTCTGCGATTTAGTTTTTTTTTGAAAAGAAAATTGCTTTGATTAGGCATCTAAGAAAAATAATTTTGTCATTGGAAAATGCTTGTTATGGGATAATCAGTTGAAAATTATGGCTGGGACTGAGCAGAAAGCCTATGGTAGTTGTAGCTTAATGTTATTAGAATTTCTCTATGCGTGTAATTGAAAGGGAAATTTGATAAATATTTGAAGCAGTGGAGGCATAAAACTATTGAGAGAGCATAAGGAGTGTGTTCCGTGTTGAATTGTTCCAACAAAATGTTGGTACAGACAAAATGTGCTAAATGACATTCAATGTTGTAAATTTCTTTGGCTCTCTTATTGAAGTATTCTTTTTCTAGTTCTCAAAATTGTAGAACACCTTATTTTCCTCAGTCATTTGTTCTTGCTATGCAGTATAGAATTAAAAATCAAGTGTTGCATACCCTAGACCAAGCATCCTGATTTACCGGTTCACAGTTTAACTTTGGTGATTCATTATGTCACAAGACTTGCCATTTAACTTTTTTAAATTCAAAATGGCCACTAGCCCTCTCATGCACTCCAACATGAAAATAAAAGGAATGACATCAGGCCACTCAGTCCATCACACTCACTGCTTTCCCAGAGTCTGTAGAATCTACTCTATCACTTCAACTTCGTCGCCATTCTGCAAAAATTCTCATCAATTCCCAGGTGTGGTTGAGCAAACGTCTAGGGAAGGTGTGAATTTCCACATGTCTCACAATTGTATGATGTCAAAGGAGCATCTTCTTTGTGAAGTTTGAAAGGCAGCACTCTCAGGTATCAGAAAGCTCATGAAAGGTTGTTAAATATCTACCAATTAAAGTTTAAAGAAAAAACAGAATATATTAACTTCTTTAGTTTACTGCTTAAAACGTTGTTTTCCCAGTCACCATTCCAAACATTGAATTGGGCATAAACGTGTGACAACGTATGAGTTACTAAGCAACAGTGGCCAATGTTACCGATATTCATGCTGCATATTTCTTCACTGACAGTGTCAGTGCAGATCATGTCTCAGTGATTTCACACCTTCTGCTAGCGGTGAATGGACGCCTTTTCTCTGTAAAACGTGACTGCACGTTTTTGTTTTTAAAAAGAACTCTCTGTTGTGTCTGAGATTAAGCGATACAGTCGCGGCCTTGAGCTTGTCAAGTAGGTATTATTTATGTAATAGTTTCTGAGTGAGAAGTTTGTACACAGTGAGGCTGGTCTGTTCTCTCATTGTGCAGCTGTGGATCAGTTTATTAATTATTACTACCTGCTTCAGGACATGCTTTCTCAAACTGGTTTCAGTAACGAAAACGCGGTGACTAAATTTGATTTAAAAATTAATGATTTGCTAATTATCTCCACGTTAGTAGACTTTGGAACATGTTTGGCAAAATAAAGTATAGGAGCCTCCAGCGCTGGGCTCCCACCAGCCACTTGTGTTTAAAGCTGTTGGCTGATATTAAATCATGTCACTGTTACAGTTTTATGAAATTGTTTATCTCCTTCAGTTGAGGATTAAACTTCGTACTGGTATTACTTTGCTGTAAACGAGGTTTTGTTTTTACCCTTCCTGAGGGAGGGATTAATGTCAATCCGCGTGCAATTTGTGCAATGTCTCTGGTCTTTGGTTTTCGGCTGTAGAGTTTCCAGTCAGCCACAAAACCGGAACTCTAGGGAATGCTGATATTGAGCATTTCTTCCAGGATACGCTGGAAAATACAGAAGTCTCAGAACGTCCAAAATTAAACTTTTTATTTTGAAACCCTGAAATCGTCCTAAGGGAATGCTGTTAGACTGAACAATATCAGGGTTAGAGATAGTAGGAACTGCAGATGCTGGAGAATCCGAGACAACAAGGTGCAGGGCTGGATGAACACAGCAGGCCAAGC